TGGATGGGTTCTATGGCTGCTGAAGCATAAAAGTACAGAATCATTTAGGTTAGAAAAGACCTCTCAGATCATCAAGTTCAACCGTTCCAAAGATTTCACACAATGGCAGTATGACATTTTGGCACAAGGGCTGATATTGGCTCAGTCAAATGCGTCTGCACTGTGCTGCCTTGATCAAAGCACAGCAGAAAGCACACTGCAAAGACAAAAACTACTGGGGGGATGTCGCCCTGATTTTGTAAGACTTTGGTAAGCCTTCTGATGTTTACATTCTTTCAACAAACTTTCTCACACACAGTTCTGTAAATAACCTATGTTTTGCATTCTTTCATGGAGGTGGAGAGAATTGATGGACCCTTGGTCTGTCCAGTGGCATTGGAGAGGTGGCACTGTCACCCTCCAATCCACTGCCACCTTTGGAAAACTATAAATGTTGGAGTCAGAAAATAAAGTTCTTCTTTATTGTTCCCCTCGAGAGCAGCAGTGTCTGTGTCATCATTTAGTGCCTTATCACAACAGGGGAAAAAGCTCCCAATATATGATTAGCTAGAAGTGTGGATCAGATCTAAGAGGAATCAGGGAATCAGTAAATAATCAGACCATGGGTAGAGTTCAAATTCCCACCAGGCTTACATTATGGCCTTTTACAACCTGTTAAAACACCTTCACTCCATAAGCCCCATCTGAGAGAAAAAAAAATAACCACAAAGCAAAATAGAGAAATCCCTACATTAGCATTTTTTCCTGCCCTTTCAGCTGCCTAATGTGGTCCCTTGAATCTCTGGCAGAAGCAGGCAAGAAAATGCCTATTTTTGTGATAGTATGGATTTTTCTTTAAATGGAAAAACTTCAATTATCTAAGTTGTTGCCAAACAGAACCATTTTCAAGGGGATCATTTTACAGCACGAAGCTTTGAGAATGTGCACTGTAGGAAAATAATTTGCTATTCCTTGTGGTACTGCTGCTTGGGCTAAATTGGCAAGAAGTTCATTTAGAGGGTAATGCATCAATTTCTGGTCTCTGCCTCCTCAAAGAAGGCAGTTCTAGTCTCGGTAAGTGATTTCTTGGCATTGCTACTTGGCGTTTCCCCAAAATGCTTGGGGGCTTTGTTACATTATCATGGAGTTACTGACAGGCACCTTATGGGGGCAGCACGTCCTCTCTGTTTGTTTTTTCAGTTTCCTTCATTAGACTCAGGTCTGCTTCCACACTGAATTAAAAAAAAAAAAAAAAAAAAAAAAAAAAGCAGCTGTGTACACACTGCAAACAGCATTATTCTGCTTATGCTATGCTATGCTAATTAATGAGGGGCTCAAAGCAGGCTGGTGATATCCCATCTTTGTAGCTGGTGCTGCAGGAAATAATGCTGCCCTGCTTCACAGAGAGGGGAAAAAACAGCTGAGCAAACCCACAGAATCACAAAGATTGGGAAAGCCCCCTAAGACCATTCAGTCCAACCACTCCATACTGAGGCCACTACTAACCCATGTCCCAAAACACCACATCTACACTTCTGTTAAATCCCTCCAGGGATGGAGACTCTGCCACTGCCCTTGGCAGCCTGTTCTAATGCCTGACTGCCCTTTCAGTGAAGAATTTTTCCCTAATACACTATGTAAACATTCACTGGTGCAACTTAAGGCCGTTTCCTCTTGTCCTGTCCCTTGTCGCCTGGGAGCAGAGCCTAACCTTCACCTGACTTCACTCTCCTGTCAGGGAGTTGTAGAGAGTGACAAAGTCCCCTCCAAGTTTCCTTTCCTCCACACTGAGCCCTACCCAGCTCCCTCAGCCACTTCTGGCACTCCAGCCCCTTCCCCAGCTGCATTCCCTTCTGTGGACATACTTCTGTCCCCCAATGTCCTTCTTGTCATGAAGGGCTCAAAACTGGACCCAGGATTCACGTAACATGCTCAGGATGCTCATGGCTGGCAGTCAAGGAAGGGATAAATCACTGCAGGTGGCCTGCATCCAACTGCCATGCCTTTTCCATAAACTGAGTCATGTACCCTTTTGTTCTGTTTGCCAGAAGGAGAGCTCTGATTTGAGGCAAAGATGACAAAACAGGACAGTAACTATGTATAAATACATGAAGAAAAACTGGTGAAAGTGACAAGTCCCCTCTTCCAGCCTGTAATGAGGGACAGATTTATCAGGATTCTTGCAGGTATAATGAGGAATGTTAAGAGGACAGGGAGATGTTAAAGAACCAGAGAAGTGCAAATGTACTTCATATATCAAGCTAAACAAAAGCAGAGGAAGGGGAAGTTGCTGAGTTGAAGGCAAGACAGGTCCACAGGAAAGCAAAGATGCTCATTTCTCAACACAGATTGTAAGAACAGCTTTATCAGAGCTGATCTATAGTGGACAGCAGCCTATCTCAGCTGAGATCAGACAAAAATTCCTCTTTAATATACTGGTAATAGCACAAGAACAGTGTCAATCTCTTGTTACACTCCTAGCACAGCCAGGAATTCAGCAGAGCTGGTCCAACCTTACAGTATGGAAAATCACAGGATATCCATTAGTATATCCCTTTTTGCAAGAATGGAGCCTTGTTTGAAATAACTCTCTCCCTCCTCTGTGTTAGGGGGATTTTCAGTCTACAGCTATGCTTTGATCTTAAACTTGATAATCAAAAACACTGCTTGGAAAAAGATCTGCAAGAACTGACCTCCTCCAGTTCATGGAATCCTCAAAGGTGGATTCCAGGGACATGTCACAAGTAGCTATAAGTGGTTTGGACAGAGCTTTTCTTGATATTCATTTCCAGAGAAGTCAGGGGAAACACAACCTTCATGTCAGCTAGCAGAACAGAGAGATACAAATCAATCCTACTAGGGGTGAGGAAAAGGGGAAGCAAGCAACACACCAGGTTTATCTTCCTGAGCAGGAGACTTTAAAATTCCATTGGCCACGCCTGAAAAAGGCAAAGAGTAAGTTTGGCTTTCACCTTGGAGAACAGCATTGTGAGGCTGTGGAAGTCAGCCAGCACTGATTGATCACTTCTTCCATGGTTCACAGGCCAGACCCAGTCAAAAAACAACAGGTTAAAACCTCCCTTGTTACCAGAAGAGCCCACATGAACTTTTCAGCATTGTGAGCTATTTCTGCAGCACTTTGCACCTCCAGTGGTAGAAGTCTGGAGGATCTGACAAGAATGATCACAGAGTGGTTTGAGTTGGAAGTGACCCTAAAGCTCATCTCATTCCAACTCCTCTGCCATGGGGCAGGGACACCTGCCACTAAACCATGCTGCTGGCCTGGAACGCTTCCAAGGATGAGGCAGCAAGAGCTTCTTTGGGCAACCTGTGCCAGGGTCTCACCACCCTCACAAGGAAGAATTTCTTCCCAATATCCAATCTAAATCTCTTCTCTGTTAGGTTTATTACCTATTTATAGAAGTTATTATTTGGTCCTTGTCCTATCACTAAACATTCTGTATAGAAAGTCACTCTTTTTTATGAAGCTCTCTTTTAAGTACTGAAAGGGTCTGGAAGGATTTCTTCACCAGAGGAGCAGGGATGCAATCCAGCATTTTCTCTTCAAGCCAAGAATAAAACCCAAAGCAATCTGCTGTAAGGGGCAATAGGGCTTGTGCTTTCTGTATCTGCTCAGTGGAGGTCCACAGACAGAGGCTGCCTCAGATCCTTGTACATTCCCAGGCAAAACCCTAAACCACAAAGATTTGCTTAAACTATCCTGGCTGCCCCATGCATGTAGCATGCAGATGGTAGAACAGAATTATTAAGGTTGGAAAAGACTTTTAAGATCAAGTCCAGTGCTTAACCTAACTCTTCCAGGTCTACCATTACACACTTCCAGAGACGGTGATTTTGGTGCAAGTCTGCTTTTGTAGAGACAAACCATTTCTTCCCCATAGGAAAAAAGGCACAACTGCAATCATACAAATTACTGCTGTAATACCAGCCACAAACCCTGCAACACTGAAGGGACCAAAGCAGCCCACTATTTTTGCCCACATTTATTTCTAGAAATTTGTACAAAAATTGATACTCTGTAATACAATAATCTATCAAATATGACAGATGAACATTTGTCTTTAGAGGCAAGATTCCAGGAATGTGAAGTACCATCCTCTTGCATGGAAGAAAGGCACATTTTAGAGCTCAAGATACTCAACTGAATGGTTGAAAAGGCAGGTCAGACATGCAAGTAGTGCAGTGTTTCAGGTTTATACATAAACAAATTGTACTCTCAAGAAATCTCAATACAAGCAGTGTTAACATCCACATAAAACATTTTATAAATACTTTTTTAAAAGTAGCTCACTTTAGATCCTATGTGTGCAAAGGCTACTCCTTTACATTCACTGGATGGAGTAATTAGAAGCCATCTTCAGGCCAGAAGTAACCTCTAGATTTCCCCAAATACTTCTGGGATCCAAAGCACTTGCATCAATAGCCCCACTGCATTTTCTCCCTAAGGCCTACCCTAAAAGTCTACAACACCAGGGCTACACAACTGCACCACCCCACTGCTCCTAGAGCTTACCCTTGGAGTTTTATGGCTATGAAGAAGTCTCATATTTCCAGCTACAAGCCTCTGTGCAAGCAGCACCTGGGACGTATCTGCTTCTAAACTGACAGCTTAAATAGTGGTGAATTTACAGCCACAAAATCATCCACTATGCTGTGGATCAAGCTTCACCTGACTCTCTCTGCACCATCTAGCATAGATGCCACACCAGGGGGGTTGGCAGCCCAACTGTACTTCCAGAAAGGGCTTTTCCAAAGCAGAAATACTCTAGTACTACATAAGCATGTCTCAACAGTGTTCTTGTGTAACATACCTGTAAAACTGCCATGCTGCTCAAATCAACCTGCTGCTTTTTAAACTGAAAACCAGATGCATCCTACTCTCCCAAAATTGCTTGTGCCAGTGGGTACAGTAGCTGTAGGAATTTTTCTAATCCATTGCTGGTGATCCAACAGCATTATATAGCAGATTACAAAGGCAATCATTTATCCAAATCCTCACAGCAAGGGGGACTTGTGCTTTATTTTTTGTATAAAAAGATGTTTGTAATGGGATTTCTCTAAAGCAAAGCCTTTATTATTTTTAAAGTGGTTTAGCAATACTTTGAACACTTGCTTTGAAGAATACATACACCCACACATGCTTTCAAGTACACAGTGACAACTTGGACTCCTGGAAACGATGTGTTGGTTCTGAGAAAAGAGGTGCTGCTGAGCCAGTGCCTTCAGTTGACTTCCAAGACCTCAGTCTCTGGCAGGCCAAATTTGCTCTTGTATTTGTCAAAGAGTTTGATCAGCGAGTCCACATATATGCTATGGTAGAAGTCCACATCCTTCTGGGATGGATTACCAATTTTGGGGATGGTGATGGGCTCTCCAACTGATAAAAAAAGGGAAAAATCCACATTAGCTTAAATGCTCCTACAACCTAAAGTATTTGTCCTCTATGGACACAGCTATGGTCATTCAGCACATCCATTCTGGCACAGCAAAGTTTGCCATTATAGCAGAGGTTTGCCTGATTCCTCACAGTTTTACCAGGCTCTGAAGCACAACTGTCCCACAACAAGGACACACACCACATCTGCAGCAATACCAGATCTACTTTGGCTACACAAATGCATCTACTGTTCAAGGTGGCTAGGAAGTCCCCCTTCTGTTTACAGCAGAGTGATAAATTCCTCCTCAATTAACATGAGCCAAGAGTCAGTTCTTCTTAGGTATTCCCCTATACACACCACAAAAGCAAAGCTGACCTTTTTCCCCTCCTCCATTAAAGCCCTGTTGCTTTGGGTTAGAAGACTCAAATGCAAGCTTTAGGGTTGGCTTTAAATACCCAACTGTCAGGCATGCATCCCACTGGAATATGGGAGCCAGGTTGCTTCTGACTTTAGCTATCCAAGGCCAAAGACAGTAGAGCTACAGCCTTTTCCCCCAAAAAAAAGCTCTCTTGCAAAATTGCCGGGAAGCAGAACATTGATTGAAGGCTTGTAACCACTGGAAACTCTTCTAGCTCATTCTCAGTTTTGCTGGAAGGTTTTTATATAGAAGGGAAAGCCATTTTATAGTCAAGACTCCAATACCAAACTACAGCAGGTGTACAGCATAGACTCAAGTATTCTGCTACCTGGAGAGGCACACAGCATGTTTATACTAAAACCTTACCAACAGTAGTGATGGGCTTGGAGTAGGGTAACAACCCCCAGGTGTTGGAGGAGAAGAGGCCACGGCCATGAAAGATGCATGGAGCAAAGCCAATGTGCTTCTGGAACTTCTTCTGAACCCATCTTCCCCAGGAACCCTCTTCAAAGATCACCTGCTTGTACACTTCATTTTCCCCAAAGGAGTAGACAGGAACCAAGTCCGCTCTAGAAAGACAGAAAGATTCAGGACCCCACCCCCCAGACTGCAGTTCATATGACAGCCCCACACTTTCTGCTGTGTGTTCTGCCAGGCTGCACAGGTGCTGGTACCATCACCCAGAGCTTTTTTTGCAGCACAAGGTACTGACATAAGCCAGCCAGACTTGGCATGACATAATAGATGTACTTTGAAGGCACACAAGAGAATTGTACTGACAATGGGCCTGTGGAACACTGTGTAGTCAGGTATGGAACACACTTCCATATATATTCAACTCCTGTTTTTGATGGCCATCTCCTTTCAGACACATAGGGATCAGGGGGACTGCACAGGTCATCACCCCATACTGACATGCCTCTCCTTGCCATGGAAGCCTCCTGCTGTCCCAGGGATCCCCCTACCCCTGCACCTTGCTCAGGGGAAGAAGCCACAGGACACTCATGTCTAATGCTCTGAGCAAACACCCACACAACACAGCAAAACTGCAGAAAGGAGAATCCCTCCAAGGTATCAGCTGCTTCAGGGAACAGAATCACAGAATGGTTTGGGCTGGAGGAGAACCTTTTAAGGCCATATAGTCCCATACCTTTGCACTGAACAGGGACATCTTCACCTAGACCAAGTTGTTCAAATAAAAGCACCTTCCAGATGGCAGCAGTACTGCTCCAGCACTGAGGTTGCCCCTTACCCATGCCGTAGAGCCAGTTTCACAAATCCCTTCCGGTTCTTCAGCGTCACAGAGTTCTTCCCTGGGGTGCAGTTCAGGGACTCTGCTGCCCCTCCCACCACGATGATGATGGCATTGCCACTGCCATTCTTGGACAAGATGTAGTCTATGCTGTCACGGTTCACAGGACATATACCTGGATTAAGCAGACAGACACAAGGGTAACGCTACAAGACCGACTGGTGACTTCAGGATCTTCTCATACTTGTAGCACAAAGTTTATGCCTCAATTGCAAGTTGAGCTGTCCAACCTCCCTCTGGTCAGAGCAGGTAGTATTAGCAGGCAACCTATCCCTCAACTAAACAAACAGTTCAGACCTAGCTGTAAACTCCACAAACATCAGCTCTCAATAATTCTCCTTTATCAAAAGACTTCAGCAAGGATTTTCTGTATCTAGTGATATCAAAGGCATTGGTGGTCAGACATCCTCCCTCCATGTAAACTTTACAGTAGGATTTGGTTTACCTTTAGAAAGGAAGAAAGCATTTGTGTTATTTTGATGGATGAGAGTCTGATATTGACCAATTCCTCAGCAAAATTAGGTAGTGGAATAGATATGGAATAGATTTAGCAATATAAAAAGAATAAATGGACAAGCATTTAAGACAGATCTGAAATAATATGAAGCTCTTGCAATTTACAGGACAGGATGTTTATGTAAACCCATACTCTGAGGAAAGTGTCTATGAAGGTCTTTCCCTCCATTCCACACTGCAAACAGCAGGACCTCCCTTCACCTTTAGTAAGCAATCTCTGCCCTAAAGCACTAGTCCCCACTCCAGGGAAATGAAAACCCAGAGACAACACCTTTAATTTCCTCTGTATTGCTTTAAAAATGTAAAGAACTTTGATTGTCTGCTCTATAAACTCTTGCCTTTATCCTACTATTGGTGTCCAAGCTCACTCCTGCCTCACTTTTTTTGGCCAGAATAAGCCAAGGAAAAAATGGGATGCCATCACTTACGCTCCCCTAACACAACACATCTGATCTGAGTACTTTAGATCATACCCTATTACACTCACATGGTATTAATTGCTTGAGCTAAGAACTAAATGATGCACAGGCCCTGGGGTCTTAGACAGGACAAGTCTGCCAGCCTTGATGTCTATCTGGGCATCAAGGTCATCACCTATCCCAGCTCCAGGTAACACAGCCGACCACACTTGAGACAGATCAGCTGGAATTGAGGATGAAGAATTAGTTTCTTTCAGCACAACTGCATCTCTGACTGTTTTTCCTCTGAAAGGCTCAGGCTATACTCACTGCTTCAACTTTGTCCCATTCTCCACACAAAGGCTCATGCTGGCTACACAGGTCTGGTAACAGATTTATGTTCAGCTCTTTCACACTTGTTAGCAGGGGGAGATTACTGCTGCTCACAGCATCAAATAGTTCCTTCAGAAAGTGCAATGAGACATGGAGACAAGTGGCAATAGATAAAATTCTGCTCTTCAGCACATTCACACAGGATATAGGGATTTCTGGTCACGCCCTCATGCCTTATAGGATCCCTGTTGTACCTTAACCTCCAGTAGGCTGGGAAATTAAGAATTAATACTATTTGTAAACCAACTATGTGTATTGGTACAGTGTTAGGATTTGTTATAATTCCACCTGGAAGTGGTTCATCCACAGAAAAAAGAATTGAGGGAATTATCAGCACTTTCTAAGTGATGTTAAAGCCTTTGTATCAGCACCCTTAAGTTTTAATACAGGAAAGTGAAGACAAATTATGGCTTTCAGAAGGTTAACATCATGACACCTCTAAACTTGCTTAGACCCTAGGAACCAAAGAAGCACCCTTTTCCTCTGGTTTAAACACAATGCTCAGAGATAGCCAAGCCAGCAATGATGTTGCTAATGCCTACTCCCACATTCTTTCCAAAAAGGAGAAAGCAGCTCTGGCTGGCCACAAGACTTGTCTGCCAGTCATACTGAACAGATTAAAGATGTTTTTTTAAAATATAAAAAGACTGCATGGAAACTTAAGCAACACAACTAAATTTACAGATGTGACAGACTGGAAAGCAGATCCCAACTTCTCATGTACTGCTGTCCTGGGAATTCCCAAATTATGGGCTTCACACAGCAACACCAGTACAGGAAGACAAAAACCATCTTGAGATATGCCTTTTCTAGATAGGGACAAACACCTTCTCTGCACCAGATTCAGTTAGTTTTTTTCTCCCTCAAGTAAGACAGTAATCTCAGAAATAGTCAATTCTAGCAAGTCAGAGTCAGGTACAGCTACTCCTATCGTCTTCCCAGTCATGGTCTTATTAAGATATCTGTTTTAAAGTCATTTATTGATTGATCAGTTCCAGAAACAGCAAACAGTTTACTGGATTGTTCAATTCACAGTCTTTAAGTGTTACTCCCTCACCTCTAACTGACAGGCACCCTCACTCTGAAAAGGAAGCTCAGGCCATGCAAGAACGCTTCATTGATATTTTAAACACTGTTTCCTCTGCCCAGTCACAACTTACAAGCCGTCCAGCATTAAAATCCTGGGCTCCATTAAAACAGACCTATTCAGGTAATTTGGCACACTCACATCACTGCATCATCTGTGGGATCCATATACAGGAATACATTCAGGGAAGGGGGTCTGTGAACAGCTGGTATCGTGCAATACTTCAGACTCTTTACCCCTGGCAGGCACCGAGCAGTGCAACTGGGGGAGACAGCATTCACTACCACAAAACACAGATGTGTGACAAGTGATGTGGTAGTGAGCCCAGGAGCCAAGCTGGCCATGGCTACTCAGTATTTTCAGTCAGTGCAATTTCTTCCTGTACCTTCACACAATAACTAGCACAACTTGGTTCCATGCCTCCACCTGCTCCACGACCAGTTGTCTGATATCTTTACTATGGTTTTGGACAAGGGTATCCTAGAGTTAAGGATGAACACAGAGGAACAGCAGCCCCTGCAGCCCGAACTAGTCATATTCACAGAATCACAGAATGGTTTAGGTTGGAAGGGACCTTAAAGATCATCCAGTTCCAACCCTATGCCAGGGACAGGGACACGTTCCACTAGACAGGATTTCTCACATTTATTCACAGCTTCCTCTTGACAGCTCTATGAAAGCAATGTTTGGGTGGTGCTACCAGCAGGAAGTGGTTACATGAGTTTCCAACACAGCTTTTCACTTGACAGAGGTGAAGACAGCTCAGAGCCAAGAGTATAAACAGAAATGGCACAGTGTGATTGCGCTTACCACCAGACATTAAGTAGTCCCTCAATATTGGCATCCTGAAGTTCCCAGCCAGGGTAGCAAGGTATGGTCGGATCCCAGGGAATTTCTGGCCAACACCTGTGGCCTCTGTGCTGAAGTTGCAAAAGGCACCCAAGCCCATGATGCCATGTGGATGGTACCCAAAAATGTAATTCCTGGTGGTCAGCAGATTGTGGGTTTTAACCAGCTAAGAAAGAAAAAAAGAGATGGATATTTTCAGATAGTAAATAAAAGTGCAAGAAGCAAAAAAACTTCATATCCCTCAGGTTTTGTCTCTCTTCCTATGAGGGAGAACAGCCTAAGAGCTCATGTACAGGCTCTCCTGGATTTCAGAGGCTCTGGTAGGAGCAACATTTAGACTTCAGTTTCCCAAGCACAGGAAGCAAGATGAACAGGCTGATCTCGGACACAAGAAGCCAGCCAGCCAGGCAGGAATAGGGCATGGATTGCTGCAGCCTGGGCCTTTTGCTTCTTTACTCCTTCCTAAGGTATTCTGACACACCTCTTGCCCAAACCAATCAAGTTCTTCAGTGCTGTAGCCACAGCTACCTCCTTCCAGGCCCTCTCTCAGCATGTTAGTGGCTCAAATCCCAGTATGAGGAGGAAAGAACATAAACATCACTGTCTCATAGGAGAAGAAAGTTCACCTAATGCCTGAAAAAGGAGCCAACCAGTTAATGGGCCTGTTGACCACCTTCCAAGTGGGAAAATGTGCAGAAGGGTGGTAACCACTGGAAATTATCCCTCCTTTTAAGAGGTTCTGTCCTGGCCTACATGCCAAAGTGTCAACAAGACACCTCAAGCTGTCTCTGATTCCTGCAGGGCATGCACTAGGAGTTGTGATCACATTATTTTCAGGCTGTGCAATATTCCTAACCATTTGCTCCTCTGTTTGCAGAGCATGGACTCTCCACAGCTGTCTTAGCTAGCACAGAACAACCCATTCCCTGGTACCACTACTGCCAGAGGGTGCTTTTTTTGATGCTATAGGTAGCAGCAGCATCCCATGTGTCAGAGCATCTTCCCCAGGCAGTACACATGCAGTCTGAGGAAGCACACAGGACAAAACACAGCAGGGTTGCTGCATCATCCTACAAAAATAGGGATCAAATTTAATTTTCCTTATGTTAGAATAGCTGGTGTTGAAAGAGACCTTAAGGATCATCCAGTTCCAAACCTCTGTCACAGGCAGACACCTTTCTCTAGACCAGGTTGCTCCAAGCCCTGGCCATGAACACCTCCACAGATGGGGCAGCCACAACTTCTGTGGGCGACCTTTGCCAGGACCTCACATCCCTAAGAGTCTATAACCTCTTCCTAAAATCGAATCTGAACATCTCCTCTTTTCAGGCTGCAACAGGGCCACGTTTTGCCAACTGCAACACCCAACAGCTCTCAGACCTACAAGCTGAAGCTTTGGCACCCCATCCCTCAAACTGTATATTCAAACGCCATCAGTTCCCATAAGAAAAAAACCCCCACAGATTTCCTAGATGTCACACCAGCATTACCCACCCCACTGCCTCGGACAAAGAGTGTCTTGGCACGACTAAAGCAGCATGCCCAGAAACTTGATTCCCTTCTCCCTGTTCTCAGCCCTGCCCCAGATGAAGCTACAGCTCCTGTGCTATTTAAAACAGCAGCTGTGATATAAGCATGATGCAGCAGCAGGTTCTGCAAGCTGACTGGCCCTCTTCATAACTTCCTCTGACTTTGAGGCCATGTAGAACTCCAGGAAGAGGGCACAGAGGCTTGTGGTTTCAACAGCTCTGCAGAGCCCCTTTGCCTATTCTTTCCTAATTAGTAGACTTTGCTTTCACTTCCCAGCATAGAAGGGCTGTAGCCTTGATCAGTTACAAGAAACAGGGATCACAGACTAAAGACGAAAAACCTACCTCCAGGAAAAAAAGTAGTGATATGGTAAGCAACCCCTCCATCTTATCAATTCTTCCTCAGGTGTAGAGAGACTTCTACAACAGGCTATCCAGGGCAGTGGTGGACACCACATCCCTGGAGGGAGTTAAAAGCTTTGTGGATGTGGCACCTGGGCACATGGGTTAGTGGTGGCCTTGGCAGTTCTAGCAGAATGGTTGGATTTGATGATCTTGGGGGACTTTTCCAACCTAGACAATATTCTGACTTTTTGACTACAGGCCTGGCAGATACAGACACATGGCTTGGTTGCACAAGCAGCAGACACTCCTTCCTTAAAGCTCCTGTCAGAGCAAGGTAGCAATTTCCAAGCCTCATCTCTCGCCTGCACCAAGCACAGATCCTTTAATAGGAAAGACAGCTGAAAGAAGGTTTGTCCTTATCATTCTAGAGCACGAGGCATCTGCATGTTGAGCTTGGCAGAGCCACACATATGGAATACACGCTGTTCTTCTGCTCCAACCCCTCCACCACATGCAAGGACACCCAGATCCCAGTGGAGCCCACTGCTTGGATACCTAACAGGAGCCCCAGCCAAGCTGGAGCCTTATTGCCATGGCTGTTTTCCAGGAGCTCCTGTTATAGAGCCATAGAGTTGGCAACACCCATGACAATCAGTCAACCACAGCACTGCAGGAGCTGGACAAGGGGTATGCAGGGATCCAGCTAAACAAAGGCAAGGGAGAAGGGCTGAGATTTAGCCTCATATTCATACATGTGTGCTTTTCCCCTGTTTATCCCATTCATGCTGCCACTGCACTCTACACCTGTCCCACAACACAGAGGCTCACAGAAGGTAAACATGGAGGGTGCAGGTGAGGTTCAGTCTATTCTCCTAGAGAAGAAGTGACAGGACAGGAGGACACAGCTTCAAGTAGCACCAAGGGAGATTCAGATTACACATTAGGAAAAATTACCCAAAAGGCACTGGAATGGTTGGACTCAATCTTCAAGGTCTTTTCCAACCTTGGTGATTCTATGTGTTCTTCCACCCAAGTCAAGCCAGGGAACCTAAGACCAACAGACATCAGACAGGGTTCTCTGCAAGTGAAGGTCTTGAATCTGCTAATGCACAAACTCAGCCCAGAGAGGGTATGACCCGCCAATACCTTCATCTCTCCCTAAATTTAATCTAGAAGCAGGAATTTTTGAGGCAGTGTAAATCTTGTAGTTCTAGACTCAAGCAAGAGTGAAGATAGTGAAATGCACAAGATGGGGCTTTGGAACCAGAATGCATTTAAAGGTCCCTTCCAGCCCAAACCATCCTATGATTCCATGCCTCTCTTCAGGCGGCTGATTACTCACTGCTGGTTCTTTGAACCCCTCCCCTTGAGAAGCAAACAGTGTTATCAGGTTGCCCCAAGGAATTGCTGTAGCTGTTACTAAACAACACCGCTGCAACTCTGTTCTGGACCTCCAGCTGGTTTTTCCTTTTGCCTCCACGGTCTTCTCCATTCCCACACAGATCATTGGGGTCTCGGTGCTCCCATGGTGAGGCAGAGTCAGCACATCCCTGCTGCATCTCAGTTGGACAATCAGTACTAGGAGTGAAGATGAACCTTCACCCCATTGCACTAACACACCTGTTCCCAGCTGCTGTTAGAGACCAAACCTGTTTCTCTGGGAGCAAAGTCCATCTACCTGTCTAATAATAATAGATTTCTTTACACAGAACTAAACCAGCCTACAGAAGCAGTAAACCAGTGTAATAGTGTAAAGAAAATGAGTGTTAACATTTGATTGCCGGATACAGCTAAAGAACCATATTGCCAATTTTATTTTTAGGAACAGTGGCACATTCAGTAGTGGAGAAAGGATTGCAGAACCACTGGTGCTCAGCACCAGGAGCCAAAGAGCAGGAAAAAAAAATCAGTTGTCTGGGTGGGAGCTGAGCAGCACTGACTATGGTAGCAGGCAGAGAGCAGAAAACCAGAGCTCATCCTGCAGGATCCCAGCAGCAGCTCTCATGAGCATGTAAGCTTGCAAAACAATCCAAGAACTGCACTTAGCCACATCACACCCAGCAGCATGATGGCAGAAATTATCCTACCTTCCCAGAAGTGCAAGCCAGGACCTGAGTACCCCTCGCCAGGCTCCCAGTATTACATATGTCACAAATTCACAGAATGGCTTGGTTTGGAAGGGACATTAAAAATCAGCTTGTTCTAACTCCCTGTCATGGGCTGGAATGCCTTCCACTACACTAGGTTAGGACAGAGCAATCAAACCCTTCTTCTATTTCCATTCTGTAAATCATGTACAACAATCAAGGAGGAACTTTACCAGGAAGCTAGCCAAGACACAGTATACAAGACAAATTGAGGGGAGAAAAAAAAAAAAAGACACTTTTGGCAGCAATTCCTGCTCTGGCCAGATGCCCGCTCTCCCATTGCAGTGAGCAGATCTCCCTGCACACACCTGAAGTGGTCACTGTCTGACAAAGGTAAGCCAAAGGTCTGAAGCCCTGGCTATCTGGAGCCCTACTTCTAGTGGAGATTTTCACATGCTCAGGTGACAGCTTCCTTACCTAAACAAAACCTTTAGGTCATGGCACTCCCAGCACAACATCCTCACATCACCATGTGCTTAGGAGGCTGCTGGGATCAACAGCATGAGATTGAGATGGTGTGTGCAGGTGATGTCTGCTCCAGTTCAGCCCCATGCATACACCTGCAAGGGCTTGGGCTTCACCTACCACTTCAGGCCCAGGACTCAGTTCACTGGAACATTCCTCAGCCACTTCACGTGCTGCTTAGCTTAAAGCACTATTTACAAGGCCTGCCATTAACCAGCAGACAAACTTAAGTTTCTAGTGCCCTAAAATAGGTTATTATCAGAGCAGCTGCATGAAGTCTGTGGGAATGTGGCCAACTCAGCTCATGCTGAGTAACTGAGCCAGATTCAGGCTGCTTTCCAAATCCACCTGGTGTTACAAAACATGACCTCATATCTTCAGGTATGGGTACAATAGTCTCAGGCTGGGAGGCACTGCTGACTCTAGTGAGAGCAGCCTAATCAGCACAAACATTGGAGCAGAGCTTGATTCTCATGCAGCTTCTCTAACAGAGCAAGCCAAATAGGAAGAAATTCTTGTCTGTGCGGGGTGGTGAGGCCCTGGCACAGGTTGCCCAAAGAAGCTGTAGCTGCTCCATCCCTGGAAGTGTTCAAGGCCAGGATACACAGCCTAGTTGAAGCAACCTGGTCTAATGGAAGATGTCCCTGACCATGACAGAGGGGAGGAATGAAACAAGCTTTAAGGTCCCTTCCAGCTGTGCTGTGATTCTATGAATTAAATCTGAGCTGATAGCCCAACACAGCTGGTGCCTGTGCAGGTATGGATGCAGCTACCACAGCTCTATATGCAGACTTTGCTGGAGGTAAGTTCAGCATTACAAGTGCCACCAGTGTGACTGTCATTGGCGTGATCTGTCCTTGCAGTGCTCAGCAGACACATGGCACAGGATGAGAAGCAGCAGAGGACTGTCCTGACAAACCACAAGCCTGGGACACAAACCAAGTCCTCCCGAGCCATTACACAGATCAGAATCCAGGAAAAAAATTATTTTTGCAGAGAGAACATTTAAACAAGTGATCCCTGTAGACCTGTCTCCCTCTTGGGAAAGAACAGGTAACTAGTTTAACCCAGGAGTTCACATGCTCTTAGCAAGCCCAAGGCATTCTGGTTCTTGGTACCATTCTTAATATCCAGAGACATTATTCATTGCTCATGCTGATGCATTGTTCATGCATCAGTCCTGTATCAGCAGAAAAACACTTCTAGCACCTCTTTAACCCTAAGATCCCTGTAGCAGCTTTTCCCAACCCTGCAGCCAGCTGGCTGTTCCCCCAAAACACGTGCAGGAGTCATCTCCCAGCTGTCAGCCCTCCTGTTCTGCCCTTTGCATGTGAAATACCAGTGGACTCCATAGACCTTGCACAACTCCTCCCCCTTAGCAGCAAAGGAATTACAAGCATAAGGAGTTCCTACAAACAGATATGTGAACTAGCAAGTGTTTATTTAAAAACTGCTGTAAAGTTTAGTTTATCTACCCCATCTCATCTCCAAACCTACCTAAACAACCCAGCTCTTTGACAAACTTTTAATATCCACAGTGAATCTGACCTGCAGGGCTTCTGCAAAGCATATTTCCATCAAGACAAGGATAAATTTGCATCCAAGGAATAATGGAACAGCAGAACCAGCACTACAGGTGACCCTTTAGAACCAAGTCCCCAGCACAACAGAGCCCATTTCAGCAATATCCAAGGCAGCAGTGTTTAGTGCAGCATTAAGGACTTGGTACTAGAACACAACACACATGAGACCCATCTTCAACAGCAGAGCCTGCTCAGTTCTCTGTCAGCCATGAGACCCAGGATGACTTTCAGCCTGTGCAAGCACAGTGAATTTTTCCATGAACACTTAGACTTGCCAAGAATGACCTGTTAACAACAGCAAGTTTCATGGTGAACTCGGCAGTGCTGGGTTAATGGTCAGTCTTTCTCTTAAAGGTCTTTTCCAACCTAAATGTTTTTATGCTTCTCAGAGTACAACAAAAGGCTTGTTCACCAGCAGCACGTTCAGGCACCCTGAGAGTTCAAGTGACTTTGCAAAGGAAGAATCCAGTCTAAGCTGCTCTGGCATCCTGCTGGAACTGGATTCCCTGTTCCTTTCTGAGGCTAGACTATCTTGGGGATAGGTAGCTCAAAAGCTGTATCAAGGTCCCTCCCTCATACTCAAGCTGAGTAAAACTTGCCAACAACCTTACATAATAGTCCTTTCAGCTGTGTGCCCTTCCAAAGAGGATCGAGTTCCCTCCTAGCCGAATTTGACCCCTGCTCCCTTCCAAGTCACCTAGCTAATTCTGTGGTCCCAGAGCAGTCTGGCAGTCCTGTCCTCTTTCTGCAACATGTCTGAACCAGTAGGAAAAATACAAGTATGTGGTGAGCAAGTTACAAGCTGGAGAACTGAAGCTATTCCCACTGCTGGAAAATCCACTTCTCCAAAGCAAAATTTCACTGCTCCCTGTGAAGTGCTGTGACTTTTGGTACACAGAGGTCCCAGATATTCTGGCCCAATACATCCCAGAGCAGAAGTGTTACTGGAAAACAGGCAAAAACTGAGCTAGATTTTATGATTTATGAGAGGGGAATAGTGTTAGTGTCAGGCACTACACAGGACTGCTGCAGCACAGAAGAGAATCACAGAGTGATCTGCATTGGAAAGAACCTTAAAGATCATCCAATTCCAATTCCCTCCCACGGGCAAGGACACTTTCCACTAGACCAGGCTGCTCCAAGCCCCATCCAGCCTGGCTTTGAACATTTTGAGGGATGAGGCAGCTACCACTTGTTGGGACAACCTGCGCCAGTGTCTCCAGAAGCTGGAGAGATGAACAAGGATTGCAGACTGACTCCAGGAATCTGGTAAAACCACTAGAAACAGCAGCTTCTGGCAACCACATTGCCACCACTGGTAATACATTTCAGATTTTCTAACCACAGCTGCCACGAGCAGTAGTATGGCAATAGTAACTGATCCATGTCCTGCTTACAGTTCATAGATAGACTAGTGCCAGTACAAGACACTGAAGCAGTTAAACCCCAGGGTACAGAGTTAAACTTTTACTTACTCTTATTGGAAAATAATCCCTGAAGTACCTCCATATAGCCCAGTTTCTCACCCACTGGGATCTTCTTCCCCCTGTTGAAAAAAATGAATCATCTTTAAAGCTCTTTCCACATGAATGTCTATCAAAAAGCCTAAAGGACTCCAGCATTTGCTGTCTCACTAGAGGAATCAACACTTTCCTCCCTCCAACTGGGAGACCTGCATCATTCACTGAAATTGGTGCACACTCTGGAATACAAGGTACTTCAAGAAAATTAAGGCTTGACTGCAAATTCCCTGTAGACAACTCTACAATTCAAACTAGAAACACTCCAATTCAACCTCTGGGAAAGGCCAAAATCCTGGATGGTTTCAGTTATCTTGAAGCAATGGACAACTGTGCTCATCTGGCTATAAAAGTAGTTGCCAGAGCTTGTAACCACTACTGGTTCCCAGAGCTGGCTCCTATAGGTTTGGGGCTTTTTTCCCAAAATAAAGTCATCTGCTTAATTTGTAGCAACACTGACTCTACAGAGGAGCCACACCTTGATAATCACATCACAATCTGAACCTTTCAAGAGCTGGAGAGGACAGAAAGGTCTTGAATCTTTAGATCTTTCTGAAGTAAAGAAAGAACCTAGGCCTTATAAATGTTAGTAAAAGCCAGCAATGGCATAATAGTAGTGAATGTTATTTTTGTATTGCCCTCAGCATCAGTGAAACCTGCAGTCACTGTTCATGCTGAGGGCTGACATTTAAATGTTTCACTGAATAACGCTTTTGGTCAGTGATTCAGCCAAGTTCCACTAAGAAGAGAAGTCATGCATTACAAGGAAGTGCTTCTTTGTCCAAATATGGAGACAGGGACACTTTAACAACAAGTATCTGTTCTGCAGTATTTACCTTTCTTTGGTGTATTCCAGTCAAATACCAGCCAGGCTAAATATAGAGCAGCAATCACCCAGCAATCTGTACACAGTATATACATGAGGATTAAAGTGCAAGCAACACCTGGAGAGGTGCAAGAAAGAAGAAAACAAGATTGCATCAGATTTTGGTCTCCATTTACACCCCTTGCCGTTTGATTCTTCTGTGCTGAAATCTTAGTCTCAGTCTGATGTCATTAATCCTCAAATAAATTGGATTTGGTCAAAAACCCCTTATGTAGGGCTGATGCAGCTTCCTCTAGAGCTCTGGAAAACCTCAACCTCCCCTTAATGGTGCCTCCAGGCATCTCATATCTCCAGGAAGGGCAGCTGCTTCATCAGACTTGATGAGCACGAAGATTTCTTAGTGGCCCACACCAATGGGTTTTTTTCCCCCACAGCTACACACAACTTCCATAAGTTACACCAGCTCTGTATCAGCCATCCCATCAGGCTGCCAAGGATCCCACCCAGAAATGACATTGTCATTTTAGCACAAACTGAATTGGGAAGGTAGAGCAAGACAGATGCTGAGAGCAGTCATTCTCCAGTTTAATTATTAACAATCCAATGGAGCAGAGCAGCCTGAGGTTTCACATAATCCAAGTACCCAGGGATAAACAGGCTTTACTCTTTTACTGGTCTAACACAAACAATTCTTGCTCATCTCTGATACCTCCTGGAAGGAGACTAAGCCAAGAGGAAGGCATTCCTTTTGCAATCACTTGCATCAGTTACCAGCTGCTTCTAAGAAATCTCTGTGGATATGCCCATGAGCCAGCCAAGTAAGACATTTCCAATTGTTTCAGCCTCATTTGCATGGTAGACACTGACACAAGCTAAACATCAGTCAGTCTTTCTATAGCTCTTATGGTTTTTTAGAGCCAGGAAGTCATTTATAGTTGAAAATATCAATGTAACTGGTCTACAGTATCCATGTATCCCAGGAACTACACTGCTGCAGTACGCATCTAGCAAGTAACAATTATGAAGAAATTAATGTTTTGCATTAAAATTCATCCTGAATTACAGCCAAAACCCCTTTGCTTTAGTCCAAAAGGTGTTACCCATGACAAGGAAAGTGAGAACCCATTGCAGCACAGAGATGATTTGGAGTTGTTTCTCTACTTTGGATTTCAATAGCCACAACAAATCCTGCAGAGCAGAAAGAATGTTCGATCCTGTGCCTAAAGAAAGAAAAATAAAAGAAATAAAGTTACATTTGCACACTGAGCAAAGGAAACAATATTTTTCCTTTGAAACAGAATCACAGAAAGAAGGGTCATTAAGTCCAACTTATTTTAGTAAGAGGTTTCAGATAAATCTGCAGTTTGCTTTTAGAGCAAGGCTTGCTAAAAGCTGGTATTTTCCATGGAGTTTGGGCATCCTGGAAGAGGAAGGATTGCCATCTGCCAACATCCAGTTTTTTTCAAAATACTGGAGGGGATTAAAGAGTAATCATCAGTACCCACCTGAGCAAGCCTCTGTTACCTTGACCATAAAAATGCAGAGGATGTTAATGCATGCTCCTAATACATACCCTCACCTAAAACTGCCAGCTCCTCTAAGTGGTGTTTGATAAGAAGGAACCCCATGAGCTCACAGTAAGATAAAGATCAGCTGCCTCAAACCACAAGAAGCAGACACCTGGCTGTGGTCTGAGCTATTCTCATCCACCCTTCACAAGGCCTGTTGCAGAACTCCCAGGGCTGTTCAAGGAAAGCTCTGTGCTCCAGCCTTCCCCAGCACAGCCCAAGTGCTGGCAGAACACCTCAACACACAACCCTGAGGATCCACAGCTCTAGGAGGAAGGAACACTATCAGCACTCCTAAAGCAGTAAATAAGAGGGAAGGAGCTGAAAGCCACTCTTGTAGAAGCCTAAGATATTCAAGTGGGAAAAAAACCCAAAAATGGGTAGAACACTGAAAACACTTTCTATATGAAGAACCACCCACTGCAGCTTTTGATACTACACACAGCCTCCAAAAATAAGCACTTGCAAGTGGGTTTTCCTTCACTTTTCTTCATTACTTAATTTACAAGCACCATAATAACTGACCAAAATACAAATCACTTTATGTGTATTTACATATTTTCTTCTGTATTTAAAGATCAGCCTGTTATTAGGACTATGAAAGAAGCTATTACATTGAATAGGTTCAGTTCTAACTGACAGGATATTACCTTTTAGTAGTAATAGCATAGCAAGTGTTCACAGTCAAATGAAAGTCACTGAAAATAGCTTCTCTAGCTATAAGCAGGCACTAGGACTTTTGGTAGTTTCTACAAAGATACTCTCACTGGTGCATCCTTTAAATATGTAAAGCAACTGTTTCATAGGAATTAGGGTCAATTTAGATTAGGTAAGGAAGAAGTTGTTTACTATGAGGGTGGTGAAACACTGGCACATGTTACCCAGAGATGCTTCATTCCTGGCAACATTCAGTGGGGGAGCCACACCAAAGGCTGCAGTCTAAATTTAGAGCCAGACCACCCAGTTCAGACTCTTGGTTCTGTTTAGTCCATGTTACATGAACAATCCCAGTACTGCATTGGGCATTTAATTATTCTAAGCAAATCAAGTTTTAGGCTGGGATAGATTATACCACTGCAACTGTGAGTAAACTGAAACCTACAGCACTAATCCAGTTTCAAACAACAGCTAGAGCTGTAGGCAGTTCTTTACAAAATAATATAGTGCTGTATTAAGAATGAATCCAGCAAGTAGTTCTCCTGTTTCTGAGGCGAGACAGGAGAATATGTTGAGTTAAACTGTCACCGGGCATTGATTTGCCACACTAGAGTATCTAAGCAGTGAGATTCAGAAATCCCATGCTGTAAAATCTAGCAGCAAATCCCCAAATCTGGGGTGAGGGACAAACTTCACCCTATTTTTTACAAAGCCAGTTACCTGTTCAAGCATAAAAAAAATCTTTGGGTTTAGAATGATTTGTATTCAAAGAGACCTTTATAGCTCATCTCAATCCAATCCCCTGCCATGGGCAGGGATACATTCCACTAGACCAGGCTGCTCAACTGTTGCTGAGGGGCCACAGCTCCAGGTATTTGCTATCCCAAAAACCTTACAAAATTGCATGTGGACAGACTTGATATAGACTGAGGATTACCAGATACCAGTTTAAAGAAAGCATTTAGCAATAGTGGTGTCACTGGACATATATTTATGTCCTCCAAAAGAAGCCAAAAGTCTTAGAGATGATTTGTGACTCACAAGAAAAGCCCACCCCCATTTTTTTCTTCCAGCACCTGCATTTACACTACCAAACCTCTTTGGCTTCATAAACCAAACACTCCGGCCTCAGATCAGCTAAATCCCTATCCTCTTACCAAAGAGAACAGCTGTTTATCCCTCTAGATGAGAATTTGTACTTCAGCATTTTCTAGATGTTTGAACAAATTGCAGGCATTGCCTGCCATCCCTGTAAACAGGCCAATATTGAGTAGCACAAGTCAACCTGTCAGCTTGTTTTTCAAACCACATAAAACTCACATTCAACACCTGCAGACAGAGGGAAGGCAGTGGTTTGCCAGACAGCTCTAAGCACCTGCCCTTGGACAAATGTCCTGGGTCAGTTATTTGCTGAAAGCAAAGATATCCTTCAAAGAGAACAATATTCTCCACATCAGGTGTCCTAGATTGCAAGGCAATGTGTATTCTATTTGCCAACTGTTAGAGGTGGGGCAGTTATCTTCTGTTAATTGGGCAGTTTTTCTTTTATCTCTTCCATGACCAATCCTCCCTCCAGGGAGACATCTGCTGTTAATGGGCTATTGAATGTCACTGCAGGACTGATAAAATTACAGCATCCCATTGTGAGATGCTCCACCCAGAGGGAGGAGCCAAGCATTCCTAATTGGATATAATCTGAGATTTTGGGATACCAGCACAGCATTTCCACCAGATTCCCAAAGCAACAGCTGCCTTTTCCACTGGATCTTCAGAGGAAGACTACACCCCTCTACAAGATCCCTGCTCCAACAGAACCACATCTGCCACTGCAGGACGACTGCAGCCACAATTCTAATTGGACTGCTACCAACACCCTGACCAACAGGGTGTCAGGTTGTATCCTGACTCTGTCAGTGTTGGTTTGTTTTACTGCATTGGTTTTTTTTATTTTTATTTTCTTCTCTAATAAAGAACTCTTATTCCTGCTCCCATATCTTTGCCTGAGAGCCCCCCTTTATTGCAAAATTTATAAAAATTCAGAGGGAGAGGGTTTAGAGTTTCCAGTTCAGGGGAGGCTCCTGCCTTCCTCAGCAGACACCTGTCTTTTCAAACCAAGACATCAGGAAAGTCATTAGTTGCCATGGCCTGAATATTAGCATTTAATTCCCAGTTAAAAAATTAAAGATGCCCAGTAGCAAAGGAAAGGACCGTGGGAATGGTCAGTCAACCTGTCAAGTTCATCAGGTCTACCTTTGCACCAAACCTGCAGACTCCAGATTAACCCATTTCATCAACCAGGCATTTACAGAGTTTAGTGCCACGACAATCCTTCCCAGACAGTCCTGAGCTTCTTGTTCATCATGTCTGACTGACACAACCCCCCAGGCAAGCCTTATCTCCTTTCAGCTTCAGTAGCCAGGAGGCATTTTTGAAAAGACCCTCCATGCTCTAGAGAACCAGGCCAGTTACTAGTTACACGGAGTGGAAGAGCTTTGACAAGTCAACAGAAATGGGGGGGAAGGGGGGGTTGGCACTCAGCCACAGAAGAAAAATCCAACACTGACACTTGAGCTCAGTCCATTAGAGAAAATACTTCCTCCTAATCGCTCACCTGAGGGCCCACTCCAAGCACCTTTCACATATTAAAAACCCAAGGCATTTTCTGTAGCTTTCAGGGAACAGATTATCCTTACAACCTAGTTTAAAAGGGCCCGGTAGACATAACTATAATTCGTATACATTCTTATCAGTCTTCTCCCAAGGAAACATCCTGGGTCCTGAAGAAAGCCAAACCCCTGTCTTCTGCCACTGAAGACAGTAGCTTATCCTGTGCTGGCCACACAGCACAGGCCCTGGAGCATTTTCCAGGGTACCTGTCCCAGAACTGGAGAGCCTGACTGGGGAGCTGTAACTAGACGATCATTAAGATCCTTTCTAACCCAAGCCATTCTATGACTGTCAGGGTCAGCCTTGGCACACCATATCTTTGGTAAAGAAATACTTTACCAACAGCTTTCCTGGTCTCAGATGAGCTGGTCTCCAGCTCACACTGCAGCCCGTTCCCTGGAGTACTGATGGCATACTCCCTGCACGAAGCCATGCATGGCTCTCAAGGACATTCCTCCTCACAAGGGACCGAGTAACAACTTCTCCAGGAGACCTCCCTGCTGCTCAGAGATGGCAGTCATCTGCAGCCTTCCAAGGAAGCTCAGGGACATTAGCCAGCTATCCTGCAAGGTGATGGGCTCACCATATTTTTATCATTTAGTTCCATCTAACATCAAATGCAGGAGTTGCTGCCAAGGAGATCCTGGAATCAGCAAATGGTTTGACCAAGCATTCGACTCCTGCATTACAGACTCAGCATCCCGCGCTCTTCTAGCACAGTTTATTTCAGATAAATTACACAGACAACATTTATCTAGCCAGGGAAGTAGAATCAAAGATCTCAAGAGTGGAAGTAATTCAAAGGTGGGCACCAGAAAAACGAAACTGACATGACCGAATTAAACGTCAACATAAGAAATAAACTGAGAAGAAGTACAAGTGTTACATGCAGTTAAAAATACACTGAATCCTTGTTAAAGCCATGCTTCATCTGCCACTCTTTCCAGACAATTAGCATGTTAATTCTTGGCCAATAATTAACCTGCTGCACATGGCTTATTTAGAGGAAAACCGTATTAGATCCATCAAAGCATAAGCTGCAAGTGGACATTCTGAGCCACATATTTTGCAGAGAAGCAGAAATTGGAACAAAGATAGATAAGAAAAACAGACCAGTACTAAAATATTCAGGAGGACTTAGCCACCCATGCAAGAGCAGGAGCCCACACAGCACACAGTGCACCTGCAAAACCCCTTGAGCAACACATGTTCTTGGGTCGTGTCTTGGGTTTACTTAGGTGCCCCAAGCACAAGCATATTCACTATAGAGTAAACAATTTGTTAAGAAAATAATGAGTAATCAGCATAGAGTATAGTCATTCTGCCATGTACACAGCTTTAGAACAGTTTGCTCCTGTCCCAGGAAGCTACTCAATTACGTATTATCTGCAGTATGGTGTGTCTACAACTGGAGATGAACAATATTTTGAACAGGGACATGCAAATAAAAATTTTTATCAGCTCTTTTAGAAAGGAGCTGGGATTCTCCAGACCCAGGAAACAAATCTGTCATGATTACTTATGTTAGTTCTGGATTTACAGCACTAAACTCAGCCCTCGGTCTCCACACTCACAGCAATATGTATGTTAAAGTGATGTAACCACAAGACCCACAATCTAAGCTTGTTGGCTGTCCCAGACCAGCCAACAAGTTTAGATTTAAGTTAGCAACACTGAACAGGTCTGACAAGAGAAAATTACTCATCCTATTACAGCTCCTCAGTGTGTCCAGAGCACATGAGAACTCTGAAAGAGGGGTTTCGTATGAGGAAGCCCAGACCTTCACCTCTCAAGGAACTTTGTCAAGAGACAACAGCTCCTTACAGCCAGCCGTGAAGCTGTTCTCCCAAAACAGGAGCTCCCAGGCTGCCCACCCCAGAGCAGAACTCAGGTCTGGTAAACCTCACATGCAGTGTAAGACTAACTCCAAGGTAAAGCTGAGCAAGATCATATTCTTCATCCCAAACTTCTTGCTGATGAAGTAACATTAGAAAAGACATTTCAGCACAGGACAGCCTTTCAAGGTTACAGCCACACCATCATCTTTCCTCAGGGGAAGGGATGAGACAGACCTTCTTGCTGCTCTGCCAAACACAAGGAGGAGACCTCCTGGGCATCCTATGGCCAAAGTGCGGCAGGTCAAGATGAGGAGACCACAACCCCTCCTACCCAACCAGGTGTCTCAGAGCATCATTCAACCCTAGGCATTGGCCCAAGGTCTGCTCTGATTTTTGCAGCACTGGGTTGATATCAAAGGACATTCCTCTGCATACATACAGGGATGGATATAAAGGCAGATGCCTGCACTTTTTTTTTTTTTCTTGTTTTTGAATAGAATCAGACTTAATTCAGCCAAATTTACCAGCATCAGAGCAAAATCAGATGCCAGGAAAACAGTAAGACTAAAGGACAGTATGAGCCTTCCAGATGCTCACTCCGAAGTCAGCCCTTTGCACAAGCATGATACTTGGAAAAAAATATTCAGGGAAGTAGGAAAAAAAAATATAGTGGGCTTGTTCTACACATCTTCTGTAGTGAGGCAAGTTGTTCAACATGATCAAGTACTACATAAGGTCTCATGAATGAACCTCCACACCACATCACCTCTGCCAGTTTTGATCTGCAGGGTCCCACACCACTATCTTCATACCCAGTCCAAGCCAGAACTCCTCTGGGAGGCACCTCGATTTGGCTTTGAAGCCAGTCCTGTGCTTTCCTGCCCATGCAGGCTACAGCACTGGCAAGGGGTTGGTAGATGTTGCAGTCACCAAGGCAACATCCCTTGTCTTCCCAGGCAGAAATAAGTTAAATTAAGTTAAAAAGCACAAATATCACTGCAGGATCCCCATGAGGTGCCTCTGAGGAAAACTGACCTGAGGAGAGTTAAGACAGCTTTCCATCACTAATCAGGATTATCTAGAGATGAGGCCAATCACTGTCCCTAAACCACAGTCCATTTTGAATTATGCATGTGTCCTAGATCCATCATTAACATGCCAGTGCCAACAAGGTGGCTGATGAGGTCTCAGGTCAACCCTACATATTTTACAGGTTTCCTGAATTATTTATTCTCTGCACTTACTTCGCAGTTAACTCTCAATATAACAGTTCGGATGATGCTAATTCACATAACCTCTCTCAACTGAAAATATAACTTGTCCTCTGTTAGTCATGCAAGCAAGCAAAGTTATTTTAAGAAACAGATCTGAACACAGGAAACACATGCAGATCTTCTCCCCAGTCAGTTCATAACCAATCCTTCAGATCAATCTAATATCCTGACAGAGATGAGCAACAACAGCTCTACACCCAGTGCAAAAACAAGACTTCAAAAGTTAATTCACCACGTTCATGTCATTTCAGCTCTGCTAATGATTTGTTTAATCAATAAAACATTTCACAGGTCTCTTCATCCCTGGAAGCAGTTTGCTTTTTGAGGGCAAAAAGCCTTTCACAACACAGAGCAATCACCCAAGGATCCTCCACAAATCACAGATTAAATCGTTGTCCAACTGCATTTTCACGCAAAGCCCCCCGGTTTGCAAATCCTGACCCTTCTCCAGACAAGCACCCTTTCAGAAGGGATACAAAACTCTATCTAGCAAAACATTTAAACTTGATGAATTTATTCCTAGAAGATCCTTTGAGATGCCTTTACAAGCAGGCAAGGTAGCTTGTGATTTGGGACTTCCCATACTTTCTCCAAAGCCTTTAACCAACATGTTCCGGCGTGCAGGGAAGTGTTCAGTGTCTGCAGCAGCTCTGTCCACGATGGGTGCCAGCCACTGACACCCGTTCCACTTCTCTCAACAAGTCACTTCCCAGCACGGAGGGCTGTTAAAAGCAAACTCGGCAGAACTGGCTACCACGAAATTCCTCATTATAAGACAGCAAAAATAGCAACATGCTGCCATTTTTCCCCTCTCCCCTTGATGTAGGTGTGGGGAACACAGTATTATGAAACAGGTGGACTCGCTAAAGAGGCCTTTTCCAAGCTAAATGAAATTCTATGAATATGAAATCGAGACTGAACTTTATCAGCCACGCAGTGCGATAAAGCGACACTTCTCTTCCTAGCATGACAAAAGGAGGGGGCTGAGGGGGAGGGGAAGACTCGTTTTACGCAAGTGCCCCACGCCCACGTTTTGCAAAGGTGCAAACTCACTGTAGTTTGCACCTTAGCAAAATGTACAAGGCCAGCTAGAGCCGCTTCCAACAGCCCCAGAAGCGCACCCCGAGCTTCCGAGCCACTGAAACACAAAACCTGCGCAGAGACCTGTAATCCTCAACCCAAGAAAAGCTACAGCTCCCTCCCCGCCATTGCACATCGCTCTCCTCCCTCCTTATTCCCCTGCAACAACGTTTCCGCGGCCAAAAAAAAAAAAAAAAAACAAGGAGGAATATCATAAAGCCGATTGTTTCGGTGTTGCTCCCATCCCAGTCCCTGAACCACCGTAAAGCTGCTCCGCACCGCAGCATCCCCCTCCGGGCACGAGCACTCATCTCCAGCCCTTCCCGCCGCCTGCCCTGTCCCCGCCGGTACCTCGGAGCACGCCGGAGTAGGCAGCGATGATGGTCTTCATGGTGGGGAAGCGCGGTCAGGACTCGGGCAGGGCCATGGGATGGAGGAGCCCCGCCACTCTCCGCGGCCCGGGTGCAGCCAGGGAGCAGGAGAGATTGGAGCCGTGTATCCATATATAGCCCAGGGAGGAGGAGGAGGAGGAGGAGGAGACGGAGGGAGGGTGGAGGGTGGAGGGGCGGGCCGGGCCGGCCCAGCCCAGCCCGCCCGGGTTCCCGGGTCCCTCAGCCCAGGCCTGAGGGTGGAGGGAAGTTCTTGGTCCCGGCGATGCCGATTTCTACGTGGGATAGGGATAGCAGCCGGGAGACCAAGCAGAGGCCCGCACCCTGTACAGGCTGTTTCATGCCCTGTTTTATAGAATCACAGTATGATTTGGATTAGCACAGGCATTAAGACTCATCCATTTCCAGCCCCCTGCCGTGGTCAGGGACACCTTCCACTAAACCAGGTTGCTCTGAGCCACATTCAACCTGGCCTTGAGCACTTCCAGGCATGAGGCAGCCACTGCTGCTCTGGGCAACCTGTGCCAGGGCCTCACCACCATCACAGCCAAGAATTATTTCCCAATATCCCATCTAACCCTGCCCTGTGACAGTGGGAAGCCATTCCTCTTTGTCCTGTACGCCCAGGTCCCTGTCCAAAGTCCTTCTCCAGCTCTCTTGGAGCCCCTTTAGGCACTGCCAGGGGCTCTGAGGTCTCCCCAGAGCCTTCTTTTCTGCAGGCTGAACACCCCCAGCACTCCCAGCCTGTCTCCAGAGCAGTGGGGCTCCAGCCTTCAGAGCATCTCTGCGGCCTCCTCTGGATGCACTCCAGCAGCTCCATGTCACTCTGATGTTCGTCACCAGGGCTGGAGGAAGCCCTGCAGGTGGGAGCTCACCTGAGTGGAGCAGAGGGGCAGAATCCCCCCTCCCCTGCTCCCCACACTGAGATCAGCCCAGCACACAGGGGCTTCTGGGCTGGCAAAGCACACGGCTGGAGAATGTTCAGTTTCTTGTCCACCAGCACACCCAAGTCTTCAATTTCAGGGCTGTTCTCAATCCATTCTCCCCCGTCATTGGTGGGGAGGGGATCGCCGCATTCCTCTACTAATGATGGGCTGTTTAAGACACCATGGCCCTCTTCTTGTTCAAATGCTCTCCCACTCCACTCTTGGCTGATTTTATCCTCCCCAGTTGGCTTTGGCAGTTCTGGGTTCCTGAAAGAATAATGAAATTAAGATAAAAGGTAGAAAGGAGGAAAATTTAGTCACTTTGATGCATTTCTAAAGGAATTTTAATGAAAATGGAATTAATGAAAACATTAAAACTTAACAGAAACTCTAATGGTTTCATTAAGTATCATTTTCATTAAGATAACCTACAGGTAATGTCTAAATCACTGACTGAGCCTCATTTTCTTCCAACAACATGTTTAAGGGTCTATTCAACTCATCCATAAGAAACAAGGTGCTATTTAGGTTTGCACCAAAGTTTTAATGTAGCTGCAATTGCCACTTGAGATTTCTGGAGACAGATGGGTCTGTCCCAGCTTCCATGACATTAAACCAGATCCTTTATAACTATGTCATGTCTGGGTAAGCTGGTAAAGGAGAGACTTTGCTATAGCTCTGGACAAAGGATCAGGTCTCTGTCTCTTCCCTAATCTCAGTTTCATCTTCTGTAATTTGGAGAAAATTGAATAATCTGTATGTAAGAAGCACTTCAACATCACTCAAAGAAAAACTGGTGGAAAGCAATGATTATGTAGAGCTTCCTACATGCAGAAAACAGGTAGCAATCACAACTGAAACAGACATGAAAATGCTTCAACTTTTGACTAGTTTTTTGGGTGGGAGCAGGATCATGTCTAGCTCTGTCAGCAGTTTTTTCCAGTTGCTTCTGGAGATGCTACTGCAATATCCACTTTTTGGCACAGACAGACATGTCTAGCAGTGTGTTTAATTGAAAAAAAAGGCTCATATTTTCTGCTGTGGAGAGCTTAAATCTGTGATTCAGAGGTGAAAGAACCATTTATTTTTCTTCTCGGTCCCAAGGCATTCCCACACCTGACCTTATGAATCAAAATAGCACCAGGACTGGTTTGCTCCCCATTAGGCCGCAAGGCTGTGTTCCAACACTTGGAGTGGCCTGTGGAAATCTGCATAATAATGTAAAATTGCAAAAGCCTGTCTGAAGAAAGGGTCTTGACCAACAGGTCTTGGCTAAGACCTCCAAAAGGGAGCCCAGAGCCCAAATAAATCACTCTAGCATACTGCTGAATGAAAAGAGAATGTTCTCCTGCCTGCCTGTGTTCCCTGTTGAATTAAATAAAGTCACCTACAAGGAAAGAAGGGCTGAGGTATCTCTTCTTATTGTAACTGAAAGAAAAGCCTGAAAAAAAATCATACTGCTAGGTCATGACATGAGACAGACAAATGGAAAATAGCTGAATTGCTGGGATCACTATCTGTCCAGATCTATCATCTTACTATTTATATATTCACTTTTTATATATTTTTGTGCAAATTCTCTGAATCCTGATTATAGAATCACAAAATGGCTGGGTTGTAAGGAAGTTAAAGCTCATCCAATTCCAACCCCCTGCCATGGGCAGGGACACCTTCCACTCAACCAGGTTGCTCTGAGCTGCATCCTACCTGTCCTTGAACATTTCCAGGCATGGGGCAGCCACTGCTACACTGGGAAGCTTGGGCTAGGGCCTCACTACCATTACAGCCAAGAATTTCCTCCCAGTATCCCATCTAACCCTGCCCTGTGACAGGGGGAATCCATTCTCCCTTATCCTGTCCCTCCAAGACCTTGTCCAAAATTTCTCTCCAGCTCTCTTGGAGCCCCTTTAGGCACTGGCAGGGGCTCTGAGATCCCCAGTAGCTCCACATCCTTCTGATGTTGGAGACAGCTCTGCAGGTGGAGTCTCACCTGAGTGGGGCAGAGGAGCAGAATCACCTGCTCCCCTGCTGCCCATGCTGTGGCATCAGCCCAGGCCCAGGACATGGGGATTTTCTGGGCTGCTTTTCTTGCTCCATATGCTGCAATAGTATCTCAGCCTAGAGGGATGCATTAAAATTTAAATAAATAAACTAATAATAATAAAATCCTTTAGTGCTTCATGGATTATTACAACTGTCAGGAGTAAAAATGCAACCACCATAGACAGCCTCAGCCTCAGCAGCTGCTTTGTGACCTGAAGTTGTAAATTGTGGCACCAAGTTTCTTGTAAGGAAGGAAAACATAAGCTTCAACCTGATGATACAGCTGAGCCCCAGAACAGCCTCTACCTTCACAAGGGCATGTAGTGACAAAATCAGGGGAATCCCTTCAAACTGAGAGAGGGCAGGGTTAGAATGAACTCTTCTCTGTGAGGGTGGTGAGGCTCAGGCACAGGTTGCCCAGAGCAGCAGTGGTTGCCCCATGCCTGGAAGTATTTAAGTGCAGGAAGGATGAGGCTTGGAGCAACCTGGTCTAGTGGAAGGTGACCCTGCCCTTGGAAGTGAGTTGAAACAAGATGAGCTTTAAGGAACTTTCCAACCCAAACCATTCTCAGATTCTTTGACTCCCACTACTTGAGCAGTGCAGTGCAGTATTTCGCTTCTTTGAAGAGTACTTGTCCTGAAACCTTTCTTTTCCTCTCCCATCCCACTCACTGAAAATCAGCAAACAGTCCTAAATAATAGATTAGAAATATCTTGAGCTAAGGGAGAAAATATGTGTTTCCACATCCCCACATGTCACCTGCTTCTCTACAGAACTTCAAGTAAACCCAAAAGCTATGTAACCCGAGGGTATGGAGGTAACTGAGGCACAAACTTTCTGGGGAACTAAGCTGAAGAAACAATGCAGATTTAGGTAGTTGTGGGAATTTCACACTTGGTCCTTCACCCTATTCCTTAGTCTTGAATTCCTGAGCTTCAAAGCTCCCCCTGGTCTCTCTTGCTTCTGGCTATGGCTCCTGGTAAGATCCTTCAAGTCCTGTTTGTTCTTGTGGCTGGGTGGAAGTGTTCTATCCCTGTCCATGCTTCTGAACTAGGTGTTATGATTTTAGGAGCCCAGACTGGTACTTTCCAATGCTCCATCACCAGAAAAGTTCCTGCCATATTCTGAAGCCACACTCCAGACATGCAAAATAAGTGTCAACCAGGCTATCTCTGAACCCATTAACAAATTGTGCATGGCCATTCTTTGCTGTACAAATGACAACCACTGATCATAGAACTACAGGATCATAAAAACACAGAATGGTTTGAGTTAGAAGGGACATTAAAGATCTTCTAGTCCCAGCCCCCTTGCTATGAAGAGGGGCAACTTCCTAGGTTGTTCCAAGCCCCATCCAACCGGGGTTTAAACACCCCCAGGGACGGGGCAGCCACAGCCTCTCTGGACAGCCTGTGCCAAGGTCTCATGGGAATTTCTTCTTAATCTCTACTCTAAACCTGTTATTTTTCAGTTTAAAGCCATCACACACTTTCTAACGGGAGCATAACAGGGCAATGTGTTACAGATGCATGAAGTCATTCTGGGCCAGGTCCTTGGCACAGTCCAGTGACATTGGCTTATGTTTTGCCAGGGTGCAAAGACATCCACTACCATGTCCAGAGCCAGAAAGAGCTGAATGAGCAGGGAGCAATGCCTCCCTCCTCAGGAGACCTCAGCAGAGCCCATGCTGAGGTACCTGTGGACATCTGAGCACCACCATGATCATTGAACTGGTTGACCTTTGCATATGGAGGATCCACATCATATGGCCTAAAATTGTCCAGCCCATGACTTGATTTTCAGTCAATTTGCGCTTTACACCCTTCTTGTTCAAAGAGTTTGCTTGGAAAGGGATGTTTGCATGACAGAGCTTTGCAAACCCTGTTCTCTAGAGGGATTTCTGCAGCTATGGGCACCTTAGAAGTACACTGACACACAAAATCACAGAATCACATAATGGTTTAGGTTGGACGTGACCTTAAAGATCATCCAGTTCCAACCCCCTGCCTTGGGCAGGGACACTTTCCACTACACCAGATTGTTCAAAACCCCTACCAACACATCCCTGGGACTTTTGCATCCTAGGACATCCCCAGGAAAGAAACTAAGGAAGAGCAAGCATTTAT